TCAGCAGTAGCAGTCGCAGGAAGAGCAGCGGGGGGACGTTCATTGAGCACATAGAGACGCTCCTCGACTTGGAGCACAAGTTTCAGATTGCGAAGCCAATCCAAATAGTTTGGACCGGTGAGTTTGTTTTGGTCGAGGATTGAGGAAAGGGGATGTTTGGACATTGTTGCTGAGAAAATTTTAAGAAGACAATGATCAGAGTTTAGTTCGTAATAATCGTTACAATTAAAATTTTGGACTTTTATGTTTTAATTGTTCTCCCACTAATTTTATCGAATTCCACCACCCTCTAGCAGACAATCGAGAAAACTTATTTTTCTTTAATGGGCTTTAGGTCCAATAGCGCTAATGTAACCCGTAGTTAATCTATCCCGATTACATAAGCCTAAAGGTAGAGTACTATCAATCACATCACTATGTGACCCTAAAGATCGATTTTCCTCACACTTGATAATGACCTAAGTTAATCTAGCGAATATCAAAATCTTCGTGTGTCAAGTCTAGCCTACCAATATGAGATGTCATGGATCCAACTATATCAAACTAATGCAATCCCTAGTTAATCTAGCCGACCACATTAATCCAACATAATTTTATCTATGACCGTATCTCCATCTAATGTCAATTAAATTACAGCTTATCCCACAATAGCACTCCCCGCTAACACGGCTTACTGCACTATTATGAGAGGCTACACATAATTTAATTGTTGGTAGAAGGAAAGAAAAATTCAACAATTTGGTTTTTCTTTATAGCTTGATAATTATTCTTGATTAAGAATGAGGGATTTTATTTTTAAATCTTATTAGCTCATCGGAAGTTTTAGGTTATGATCGTTTGTGATTCCTACAACTATGTTCTCTAGGTATGTGGAAACGCATATTGATCCTAAGAGAGACAAACGATCATCATCGTACTTAATCACAATTATTCATCTCATGAATTAATTAATAAATACGATTAATTGCAAATATAATTAACGGACTTCTTTCATTCATAAATCATTCAAATAAGAATGAAGTCCATTAATTGTTTGCCATCTAATTTGTGTTCCATTAATTAAACTAATTTAACGATTAAATTAAATAATTAATCCAACACTATTCTTTGAATTCAAATTAAATTAATGGATCAATTATCTAATTGGGTTTAATTGATAAATAATTTCAAAAATTAAAAATCAATTAATTTTTAATATTAATCTCAGAAAATCAATAAAAGAAATATTTTTTTTTTTTTTTTTTTTTTGTTGTCGCTGACCGGACCGGTCGGACCGGTTCGACCGGGCCGGTTCGGTCAGCTGAAAAAACAGCAGCAAAAACGAATTTTTCAAAATTAAAATCTTTTATATTTTCTGAAATATTCAAAATATTTAATTAATATTAAAACACCCAATTTGATAACACCAATAATTCAACAATTCAACAAATCGAAGCATGCTTTCGAAAACGATAAACACGTTGACAAATAAACGATTAACCCGTGGCTCTGATACCACTGTTGGGGATCGTGCATGTATACGCAGCGGAATTTAAAATTTTTATATCGAACTAGTTTCGATTACATGCAAAACTAATCATATAGTCAACGTACCTTAACGCTTCCGCCATACATATGGTAATTTTTCGATTTAATTAAAAATACATAAAATCGAAACACGTAATCACATATTACTCACAATCATAAATTATAATTCATACAAAACATGCTCGAATTAATTTACGATAGTTTCGATTTGTTTACCTCTTGTAGCGTGAGATTTCGACGAATCGAAATCAAGAACCAATCACGTACAAGCTGCGATTACCAATCCTCGGGGCTGCGATTACCAATCCTCGGGGCTGCAGGAACACCACCGAACGGCAGCTGGACCGAAGGTGGAGCGACGGCGGCGCGTGGGCGGTGCAGCGGCGATGCGGCGATTCCGTCGGGGCAGCAGCTCCTCTCCAATTAGGTTTCACCTCGAATAAACGGATCTCCCCCTACTGTAGCACTAGATACAAAGGGGTTAGATAACAAAGGGAATACGATAGAGAAAGGAGAGAAAAACCGGCGGATTCCGGCGACGGACGGCGGTGGCGCGGCGGAGATGCAGCGGCCGAGAGGGGGGCTGAGCGGCTAGGGTTTTGTGCTGAAAAATCTGATCTCAAAACTCCTTTTGAGGTCTATTTATATCTAGGGTTTTCAACCCTAGCGGGCTTAAGTCATTGGGCTTGACCCACTGATGCATTAAGTCCATTCCCTTTACGGCCTCGTTTCTAATAAACGATCGTCCACAAAATTATAACAAAATTATATTTGTGACGAGCTCAAAGTCCTCGTCGATACGAGTGCCTCTTCGAAATTTCCAATTTCCAAAATTGGAAACTTCCAATTCAGTGGACTTGCTAAATCGGGAAACTTCCCAATTTAGAAAGTTCACTAAATTCCGCATTTCTCTTTCTCTACGTTTATTCCGACCCGTAATCCACAATCACGAATCTTGGACTCAATCATATTGACCTCCAACTTTGCAAAGATTAACATATTAATCTATGCTCATTGTTATCAAGGATCCATGTTACACGAGAAGTGTGACCCTCAATGGTTCAGGTGTATGCTAGCCGTGGGCTCACAACTCTTTGTGATTCGAACAACACATTGTTCTTATACGAACTCCTCCCAAGAGTCCCGATTAGTGTAAAACTCATTCTACCTAATCCCGATCAAATCGGTGCCCAACGAATCAAGATTGGCGTCTAGCAACTACGCATCATGATTCCCTAGATACAAGTGAAGTGCCTGCAAGAACCTTATGATATAGTTAGCGTACAGTACGATCCCTTCGTAGCACATGTCCCGATTGAACTAGAGGCATTGGTTCACCGAGACCTCTTATAAAGTTCAATAACTGTGCGAACGTTCTAGGTATTATAAATCCGTTCGTGTGCGACTTAGGGAAACACATTTCCCTAATCACCCCACTATCAACTCTGGCCAGAGATTCCATGGATTATAAACCGTCAGAACACACAGGACATCCATGACTACTCAAGCGCTCGAATCCCCTACTACAATGCACAGACTTCACACTAGATTTCGGATTGCACGAACGTTGGCCCTTGGAGCGGTCCGCGGTGGGACTCAGGGACAGGTCACGATACAATCGGTCCTCTAGTGAAGTCACGGTGATGTCTGGGTCTTAAGGACTAATGGTGTACAACTATATCTTAGAAACCTATTACTCGATGAATGAGAACCACTTATAGATTTCTAGGGCGAGGGAGTTCAGTGAACTCATCCAGTATGAGCACCCACTCAAGTATGCCGATGTCACAACACCGAGGACTGATGAGACGCAGTACACATACACTGAGTGCTAGTCTCAAAAGGGAAAGGCCGGTATCCTCATTATTGGCGTAACCCATCGACTAGGAACAAGGTTTAACAGTTACATTACATTGCTGAGTTATCTCACGATTCTACTAGATCAACTCACAGTAATAGAGTAACTCGTTAGGACTATATCTATGCTGCTTGCATGGGATAACAGATATAGAATGCCAAATAAGATATTTTATTATTACGAACGAAAAACGATTGTTTTATTACAAAGAAAAGAGAAAGACCACAGCCACAAGTTGGCTTGCCGGTCACCTACTCTAACAAATATAACGATAATATATTTACATTACTCAGTATGTGAATCTATAGGTCCCTGTGGATCGATATCCGGAACCACTGTTTTGCAAAATGCGATAATGTATACTTGCGGTAATTTATACGTTAGGAAAACGCGTATCAATCGGCGCAATTAATTAATTTTTAGTGTGTTTTAAGAGTTGATAAGCTGTTGCATCTTATTTTCAAGATTAATATTTAGAGTGTTTGGATAATGAACTTATTAATAAAAAAAGAATAAAATGATTAAAACTATTCATTTCATTAACGAGATTCGGTTTGTTTGATGGTACATCCGATGAAATACACCGGATGATTCTTAACTGTTGATGTGCACACAAACACACGCACACCCATGTGTATGTGTGCTTTGTGGGAATTTTTTTTTTATTTTTAAAGGAGGATAGTTACCTAGTTCCCCAATTCCCCAATTCCCCTCCTGCTGTCTCGAACCCATGACCAAATGGTCTTAGGTGCAAGGCGCTTACCAGGAGACTACCTTGTCTTACTTAGTGGAAAGTTATTTTACCACATCTAACGGTTAATAATTACCTGCTGTATTTCACCAGGTGTAGCATTTCAAAAACCAAGAGATTCAACGTCGTGTCAGGGTAATACCGAGGTTTGAAAATTCGACCAATGAGATAGTTATGCATTTCAAGTAATTTTTATATATATTTTGCGAGCAGCATCATATTAAACGCCTCAAGATCTCTAAACCCGAGACGATTGTTTGCTTCCTTGTCCATTTTTTTTATCTTCCCACCAAAATTTGGCCATGTTCTAATCTCAATATCCTTGGCAAAATAACATGGGAGCTTGAAACAACCTACATCATAGGCTGGAATAGCATGCGAGAAGATTGTCCATTTGGATTTCCCGGTAACATCCGAGAGAGGCCCTCGTATTTGTCATTTCCATTGGAGGACCTCGTAAACGACAATAATAGATTCACGCCTAGTCTTGCGAAACGCGAAGCTTGCTCATAAACACAAATAATGTTCTAAATACATCGAGCCGGCAACTTATTTGTGAAAAATAAAATTAAAAACTTGGCAAAAATAAAAATTAAAAATCAGTTAAAAAAAATTAAGCTAATGAAAAATCGGTGGCAAAACAATTAACTTAGGTTAAATTATCCAGAAAATAAAGGTTAAATTGGTGTAATATGAGAAAATCGATCAAAATATGTCAAATCTTTAAAACATTGATTAGGTCGGTGAAAATTAGGTGAAATTGATGAAAACATAAATTACGAGAAAAGATAAATCTATGAAAATAGAAACATCCATAAAAAAATAAAAAAATAAATCGAGAAGTACCAGTTAAAACAAGACAAGAAACAAACTCGAAAAATAAGCATAGCTCGATATAGAGAGTAAATATGATCTTCTTCTGTCAAGAATACCTGCTCTGTTTTTAATGGTTATTATAAAAAACCTGAAAAGTACTCGTAACAGCGACTTCTACAACAGTACTACACCCTCGTTAAACAATTGAACACGAAAAAACGAGGAAACGCAGTTTCAGAAATTCGCCTAAACAAAAATGAAATATCAGTTCCCCATGCTACTTTTTATTTCCTCGAAGTAAAGCTTTAGCAAAAAGACCTCTCTACGCAGCCACAGTTTGCTTCTGGGCAAAAGCGACACCTTTCTCAATACTCGCCTTCAGCTCCGGTTTCAAGGCTTCCAAAGCCTTCTCTTCGTACTCAGTCAACCCCTGAAGCTCCGACGAAATGACCGATTCGACCCCATCCCTCCCAAGCTTAATCCTCGAAGCAAAAAAGGGTAAATCCGTCAAATCAGACTCTACATACGCGCACTCGTACACATCACTATCACCATCAAGCGCCCTAAGCGAAGACTCAACAAATCTCGCAGCAGCATAAGCCATCGAAAGAGTGGCGGACCCCGCCCCAGCTTTCGCCTCCACAACTTCAGTCCCAGCATTCTGTATCCTCAAAGTCAACTCCTCCACCTCCTCATCGGTCAAACTAACCGAAGGCTTCGCCCTCGAGAGCAGGGGCAAAATCGTAATTCCCGCATGCCCACCAACAACCGGAACATCCACATCGATTAGCTTCAGATTCTTTCTCTGTGCAAGAAAAGTATTCGCTCTCACAACATCGAGAGTAGTCACTCCGAAAAGCTTCTTAGGATCGTACACACCTTTCTGCTTCAAAACCTCGGCGGCAATTGGCACAGTCGAGTTTACGGGGTTGCTTATAATATGAATAAAAGCATCCGGGCAATTATCCGCTACACACTCGATTAGCGTGCGGACAATATTCGCATTAATGTTGAATAAATCGTCACGCGTCATACCAGGTTTTCTCGGTACACCAGCGGGTATGACAACAACATCCACTTCCTTTAAACAGTTGGCCAATTCGGAAGCTCCGGTGAAATCGGAAACCTTGGAGGGGGTGTTGCAGTGGCTGAGATCGGCGGCAACACCCTTTACATTTGCTATATCGTAAAGATTCAGTTCGGAGACTAGCGGCGACATTTTGACAAGAAGGGCTAGCGGCTGGCCTATGCCGCCAGCGGCTCCAAGAATGGCTACTTTGTAGGAAGCGTTTGTCTGAAGGTGAGTGTAAGATCTTTGAGTTTGCTTTTGAGCTTTTGAACTGAAGGTGCCTTTGAGAGCTGTGCAGCTTTCATTGCCAAAGAATGACGATTGTGATTCGCAGATTACGGAGTCGGCAGATTTGAGGCCGTTGAAATTTCTGAGGTGGCTTTTCGGGTTGAATTTGATGCTAAAGGACTTTGAATGCGTAAGGTGGCTAACCCTCGAGCAAGGAGATGAAGCTGATGCAACTGAAAAAGTGGCTGCTGATGTGGCTGCCATCTTGCAACCTGCAAAGATAAAATCGGATTAATGATCGAGGAGATGAAATTAGCGCGTTTACAGAAGAAAAGAAAACCACCATGAAAAACTAATTCTTATTTATTTCTCAAAAGAATTCCGAAAAACTAAAAATAAATATTTTGATTAGTCCAAAAGAAATCAGATTGAAATCGACGAAATTTAAAAGTTTAGGCCTTGTTTGAGAACAATGATGGGATTGTGTAATAATAGGGGTTGAGGTTGGACTCAATATTCATTCGTATCCTTGATGAAATTCGAAGCTCGTGTTTAATCACGGGCTTCAATCCTAAACCCCAAATATTGGGCACACACTACACATTTATTATATTGTCTAATCAAGTCCCATCCTTATTCCCCAAACGAGGCCTTATAAGATTTATGAAAAAGATAACTGATACATTAGAGATATCCAAGGTCGAGACAGTAGAAAACATGGATATTATGTACCTATCGTTATACATATAAGCAGAAAGAATATAAGCTCATTGGAAAACACACAAAGTGCATTAACTATTGAGATGAATAATTGAAATACAACTGTAGCCGACTTTGCATGTATATATATGCTATATCTGCAACTACTATTTGAAATCTCGTCGTAGTATGTTGTACGTGTAATATAAGTTCACATATCATCAAATAACTCGAAGACGAAATGAATGTTCATTTAATTTCAGGAATTTAATCGTCCCCTCAGCTGTTAAAAACTAATACGACAAGCACTCGAGATTTTTTACTGATTTGAAAATCAACCAAAAATCGAGAAGGTCACTATCCAATACGAATAATTCATGCCTCAACAGAGATCCGACTAACCAAATACATCTAATCCTCATCGAATCAGATCGAAACAAGCACAATTTTCATCCCGGGTTAAAAAAAAAAATTAATTAATTTTAATAAAATCTATTAAATACCACGAATTCCCAATACATTCAAATTGAGAGATGAACTAGGGTTTCAGCAAGATAACAAGGAAACAACAAATAAAATTGAAAATTGATGCCACTGATTCACAAACAATTCATAATGTAACAGATCTACGAGCTGAAATTACGATAAAACCTAATCCAAAATACATTTCTGTCAGGGAATTGGGGACGATGAAACAGAAGCAAGAAGGGATGTAGTTACCTTTCGGCGAGAGAATTCAAAGATGATGCGTCGGTGAACAGTGATTGGATTTAGGGTTTGGGTTAAAAATGGGGGATTTTTTACACGCACAGATACACTGGAGTGCGTATATCTGAAAATGGGGGGTTTTGTTTGTTTTGTTGGCTTATCTTAGTTTTCTCCGCTGAAGGGCCTCGATCAACTCTACATACAACACATGTGTATCTATTACCAGCAGTGTCAGTACTCTTAGGAAAGCACACTATATTATTTTTCGAAATTACGAAAAAACCCTTGTGTTTGGGTAATTACAAGTACCTCATTCAACAAAGAATTGTCTTCCATTTTTGCGGTGCGAAATTTAATGGAATATTATTTAGTTCCCACTCGTTTTATCTCATTCCAGCTCCACATTTTGAAATAAGATGATCATAAGATGCGTGTCTTTGCTTGTAAATATCGGATTGTGGTGATAAAAAAACTGTTTATTTTTTGACAAACGAATACAAGCTAGAGAACATTGTACAGAATCTTCAAGATTCTATTGAATTGACATGATAAGGGTGGACGTGTAAGAAGATTCGTAGTTAATGGATGATTGTAATTACTAAAACATAAGGGGGATTTTTTCGTAATTTGAACTTACCTCAGGGGTGGCAATAATTCACCCAATTTTTTGTTCTTTTAATAATAAATAAAAATAATTAGATAAAAGTCCCTTACTAATTTGCAGAATTAGATTTAATGACGTACGTTATTTTTTGTTTTGGTTAACGTTCGAATGTTTAGATTCTTTGTTCGAGCTATGTCTCACCATTAGTTTTTTCAATTAAATTTTGTCAAATTTGTATTACAAATAAGTTGAGTTAATCAATTTTAATCATTTTAATCTACTAATTAGAAAAAGTTAAACAATTATTTACAATTTGGCAGTTAATTTAAATTTAGTGAAACTAAGATATAGGTGGTGTTTGCAAATGATTATTTAAAAGCAGAAGATAGTGATTGTGAGTTAAGTCAGTTTTAAGTGCTTATTTCTAAAAGTTGGGGGTGTTTGCAAATATTCCGGATAATGAACTTAAATATAAAAAGCAGGGCTAGGGGTGCTTTTAAAAAAATAGTTTAAAGCAGATTATTTTAAGAGAAGCAAAAGCAAAAGTTGATTTTGCAAACACCTGAAAACAAATTATGAAAAAAAAAGCTCATAATCACTTTTAAAAAACTTTTGCAAACACCACCATATAAGACGAACGAGTCACTTTTGACGATTATTAAATTTACAATCGAACCAATTAATTTGCAATTCGACAATTGATTTAAATTGAGTGAAATTGAGATGCAGAAAACCGACGAGTCAACTTTTGAACTATAGAATTTAAAAATATGAGAGATTTTTAAGTAATAAAATAGCAAAGATATATCTGTAAAAAGAAGGTGTAATCTACCTCAATTAATTTGTTGTATATAAAATGTTAAAATGAGCTTGTAAGATGTTTTAAATCGTATAAGTTATTTCAAAGTGTTTAGTAAATTTAAAAAAAAAAAAAATTAAATAAGCTGTTGGAGAGCAAATAAGATCTTTTAAAAAAAGTACTTTTAAGATCTTATAATGAGTAAAAATAGAAGATAAGTTCATTATCCAAACACTATAAAAATTTATCCTAAAATTCAGATGTAACAGTTTATCAACTCTTAAAACATTTTATCAGACGTAAGAGTTTACCAATTGTTTAAAATAAGTTTAGTCAAACACCCTCTTGAGCTGAATGATTCTTTAAGAGAAGATTTTGGCCTTTAGATTATTGAGTTTGAGTTTGCGGTTGGTAGTTCTTCTGATGGAAAGGAAGAGAAAAATATCATTGGGTGGGTTGGTGTGATTGTTCAAGAGGAATGCAATCTCTCTTTAGCCTTTTTGGCCCCTAAAATTGATTTTATTCGACCTATTTGTCTTTGTTATTCTCAAGTTGAAAGACAATTTTGTTGTCTCTTGCTTTTGTTTGTTCTTTTGATTTACTTTATTATTTTTGTGTAAATTTATTTGGTATTGGTCCATTCATTTAATAGACCTAGGCGGATTTTCGAGCTCGAGTTATCTCAAAATGTTGAACTTATGAGAGCCCATTTGACTAAACTTATTTTAATCATGAGATAAATTCTTACATTTGAAAAGTTGTTTTAAAAGCGGATAAGCTGTTACTTCTTATTTGAGAATTAAATTTTTCGAGTGTTTGATAGTGATGTTACAAGCTATTTTCACTAATTATAAGATCTTAAATAAAAGGGTCTATTAGATATAACCCCCTTAAACATTCAAATAATAGGGGTAGATCCAAATTTAAATTTGTCATTTTGATAAAAACCCAAACTTTTCTAAATTACATAAGTACCCTCAATCAAATCCCACAAATCCCGTTACTTTACCTTTTGAAATAATATCAAATCCCTCTCTATTTTCCCGTTAAAACACTATCCCCACAAAACCACTATCAAAATCTGCAAAACGTCCCATAGAAAACCATAAATTTATACACCGGCGATTGACGATTTTCTGCACTCCGAAATCCCTCCCTATTTTCCCGCCGGGTTCGCCGCTTCCACCTCCGACCGCCGCGACCTCCGTCACCATTGTCGCCGGTGGCCAACGACGATAACAACGATATTGGCCATAAGCAACACCTCCACCATCGCCTAGTCCTCCACCACCACCACATCCGACCACCTCCACCTCCAAGACCGCCAAAAACGACCAAGACCTCCGCCGCTCCCGCATCCAAGGTCGTAACAATCAATTTAGGAGTGATATCGTCTTTCGCCGCCGTCGCCGTCGTCGTCACTGCTCCAATCTAGGGTTACTCAAATCTAGGATTACTCAAATCTAGGGTTTTGATAATTTTTCGGCCCATAGTTGATTAACGAGATGCATAGTCGAATTACATCTGTATTAATATACTATCCCATATCATTTAATAGACTATCCCACTAGTATAATTTTACTATGGATCTCGTTAATCGACTATGGGCCGAAGAATCATCAAAACCCTAGATTTGAGAAGTGACGGCGGCGGATTAGTGTTTTAAAATTAATAGACTATCTCATATCTTTTAATAGACTATCCCATGTATCTAATTCGACTATGAGTTTAGTTAATTGACTATTGGAAAAATAATAATATATATGGAAACTGAATAATATGTTTGTTTGAAATACTAATCAATTAGGGTAATTTTCCTTATTATATGAAAACGATTAGGGTAAATAATAATATATATGAAAAAATAATAATATATATGGAAACTGAATAATATGTTTGTTTGAAATACTAATCAATTAGGGTAATTTTCCTTATATCGTGTAATAGACTATCTTATTGATCTAATTCGACTATGGATCTCGTTAATCGACTATGGATCCCGTATTATTCAACCACATAGTATATTAATAATTTTAATATAGTACATTAATCTGCTATGATAGAATATTACGGTTATAGTAGTGATATGAAATTGTGTTACAAACAATATACCACTGAAATGACAAGAACATTGAGAACAACACCAACGTAAAGTATTCCAACATAACCAATAAAATAGAACATTAATAATCTCATAATTTCAATCTAGGGTTTTGATAAAATACATAAAACACATCATAACACAATCAAACCAATATGTCGAGTTAAAAAACTCTAGTACATTAATAATATCATAATAGTATAATAAAATGATAATGGTAGTATCATGCGGTATTCATAACAGTATACTACTGTATTACAACGGTTTAACACTTAACCGAAGTTACCGAGCCATTACATCGTAAACACCTCTTTATAGCAACCAACCCACCAAACCTCAACAAAATCCGTACGAAATTCATCATCGAAAAAACCTAAAATCATGAAACAAAATGAAAAATGCAGAATACTAAAAAATGATTAAATAGACTGCAAATACATTTGAATGACAATACATTAATATCATCAAAAATAAACTTAAAATGCAAAATCCATACGCTAAATTAAAAAAGACTACGAACTATATTTTAATGTACTACCCAACACACTTAAATCGACTGTTATAAACAAATAAACCAACTATCGATCGGGATAAAAAACATGAACTCGACCACAGCGAACAATTATTCCGATTATTGCATAAACCAACTACGAAGCTCATATAAAACAACTCTGGTCCGATCTGCGTGAACCATCCTCTTCTAACTCTGTCAATCCTTTTCCAAACAAACATCATCATCTTCTAACGGACAACGATGAACGCTTAAATCCGAACCAATTTCCACGCCGGTGAAAAAACGATGGAAAACGATGAAAAACGATGAAACGCTGGATAAATTCTTCAAAACCGGTTCAAATCCGAACCCGATTGAAAACGATGAAAACGATGGAAAAAGATAAAAAACGATGAAAACGATGAAATCCGAACCTATCTTCAAATCCGATGGAAAACGATGAAACGCTGGATAAATTCTTCAAAACCGGTTGTACAAGATTTGATAGAAACCGCCAATATACTCACGTAATTTTATTCCGTGATTTTAGGCAACATATCAGCAATCTCATATCACGTAGTTAAGAAAGTAAATACCGTTCAAAAATAAAACAAAATAAAAAAGGGGTATTAAAGGAAAATTACATAATATATTTTGCCAAGTTGGCAAATTTGGGTGTATCTCAAAAAGGGAAAAATTAATTGGATCTACCTCATTAGAAAATATGAACAAGGGGGTTATCCCTAATAAACCCTAAATAAAAAGGTTGGACAAATATAATTTAAGAAAAAAATATTTTATTCGATCTCCAACAACTTATTTTTAAAATTTTGAGATATTTAAAAAAAAATTACCTAACACGTTGGGAGAGCTTATAAGCTCTTAAACATCTTATACGCTCTTTTTAACATCTTATAAGCTTATCCAAACACCCTCTTAGGACTTAGATGATGTTATTTGATGAACAATTATGATTTTTGTCCTATTTTATAATTTGATGTTGAAACTTGAGTTTATATCTATTTTGAAATAAGTAACTTTACTTTTAAATATTAAAGTTTACATGTTTATAATATTTTTATAATGTAAATATATATATTTTTTTACTATTTTAATAGTTGTTTAAATATCTTACGATACGACACGAGATGTGGAGCAAAACGATACGAAATATATTTACGATCCGATAACCATGACACATTGTGTTAATAAGTTCATTAAAAC